ATACGCTAAATAAGGACATTCTCTGAAAGGGAAACAAGCGAGAGAGCAGAGCTGGCAGATGCTGGCTTCGCCGTCCTTTGCTTCTGTCTTCTTTCTCAGCTGAGCAGAAATATGCTTTCAGAGGCAGAGGGCCAGAAGATGCAGGTTGGGGGTGCGTGTGTGTGTGCGCGCGCGCGTGGGCGGGGGTGTTCGGTTGTTTTTCCAGAACAATTAATGGTTTGCAGATGCCTTCCTCCCCCCACGCTCCACCCTTCTCCTTTCAACAGGAGATCTGAGGCTGATCTAGGCAGTGTGGTGCAATGGTGGGCGCTGGGGAGACGGAGACTCAAAAGATCCGAGTTCGAGACACCCCTTGGCCTCCTGCAAAACAAGTCGGAATTCTGTCTGATTCTGGAGTTTTGGAGTGCGTGGGCATGTCTTCAGCTTTCCCCCTGCAGAGACGGCCCCTTGCCTGGATTTCTTTCTTTTTCTATTTTGAAAAAAAAAAACACGACTTCTGCTTTTTCATAGCATTTACTGGGAGGAATGAAGTAGGTGGAGGGGGGATATTTGTGTGTTTGTAGGTGCGCACATGTGTCGGTCACCGATGCAGACAGTGTGAAGGGGGCTCTTTCTGGCTCGTTGTTGTTGTTTAGTCATTAAGTCGTGTGTCCGACTTTTCGTGACCCCATGGACTAGAGCACGCCAGGCCCTCCTGTCTTCCACTGCCTCCCGGAGTTGGGTCAAACTCATATTGGTCACTTCGGTGACACTGTCCAACCATCTCATCCTCTGTTGTCCCCTTCTCCTCTTGCCTTCACACTTTCCTAACATTAGGGTCTTTTCCAGGGAGTCTTCCCTTCTCATGAGATGGCCAAAGTCTTGGAGCCTCTGCTTCAGGATCTGTCCTTCCAGCGAGCACTCAGGCTTGATTTCCTGGCTCTTTAGCCCCCAATTCTGTTTATGGAAAAAATGTGCGAGTGTTGGTTGGCTGTGCATCGGTTGCTAACTATTCCCATGGGAACCAGTCTTGGAAAACAGAAGGAGAAAAACGGGAAGGCGACAGCAGGAACAGGGTTGTGACAGATGCGTGGAGGGAGGCGGGCGAGCTGATCCAAACAGGATGATTTTTAGAACCGATTTGAGCTTGTAAAGTGACTGTGCAGCTTCTCTCATCAGTTTGATAGAACAGGCGCAGGCAGCCAGACGTACACACAGCCCACGTTGACGGCTGTTCATCATCCTCACCTTGGTATGAACTGCCCTGGAAAGGGCTAAGAGGTTTGGACGTGTGACACTTACTTGGCTGAATTCATCCCCTCTTTTCCATCTGGCATCTCTGAGACATGGAGGAGCAATTGTTCCATCCCGTGCGATTTCTCCCCTCCAGCGCAAGAGGAAGACAAGCGCTTTTCTCCTCTGCTAGTTTTGTGCAAAACTGTCTTTGAGAAGCTAAGCATGCACACGTACACAGACGAAGACTGGAGGATCAACTTTTTAAAAAAGAGAGATGACCACACGCTTCTTCTAAAGGCCAAATCTCCGTGGAACAAGGCGCCAAGGGTGTCGCTTGGTGCCATGTGCAGAACCTTTTGCTCGGCTTTTGCAAAAAATGGTTCTGTGGCAGGTGCTTAAACAATTCTTGAGACCCCAGAAAATATGTCACAGGCATGGAGAAAATCCTTGTAGTTGCTCACTCTTGTGCAGGAGGCGGAGACCAGCAGGATTTTACAAGATAGCACATCTCGCCTCTGGCAGGAACTTGTTGCCACTGTCCACGTGCCACTAATGCAGGAGCCCTCCTCGAAGGCTATGGAATGTTTGCAAACATTCCTTCTGCTCCTTCCCAGAATGCTGGCCAACAAGTGGAACACCTATAGCTTTGGCAGGTGGCGGGTCTCCTCAAGTGAGAGGTGGATGTGACCTGATGCAGGAGCCCTCTAGAAGAAGGCTTTTTGACAGAAAAGGCATTTTTTAGTTCCAAAAACGAAAAAGAAAAAACTTAACTTTCAAAATAATCCTTCTCTTTCATTTGGTTAAACTGATCCATTAGCCTATTCTTGTTCTAAACTTTTTTAAAAACTTGAGAGTCGTTACTGCTGTTCTTTATTTTGTTATTGGTATTCTTGCAATCATTGCTCCTTTGTGCATCATCATCATTAAAGTAAAGGTTCCCCTTGACATTTAGTCCAGTCGTGTCCGACTCTAGGGCGGGGTGCTCATCCCCGTCTCCAAGCCATAGAGCCAGCATTTGTCCATAGACAAATTCTGTGGTCACGTGGCCAGCACGACTAGACATAGAACGCCATTACCTTCCCTCTGTGGTGGTCCCTATTTATCTCCTCGAATTTTAAATGCTTTCGAACTGCTAGGTTGGCAGGAGCTGGGACAAGCAACTGGAGCTCCCTCCGTTCCGTGGATTCAATCTTACGATGGCTGGTCTTCTGACCTTGTAGCACAGAGGCTTCTGCGCTTTAACCCGCAGTGCCACCACATCCCTATCATCATCATTACAACCTACATATTTACAAAATTACAAAATTGTTGTGGTAACTACAGCTGGAGAGGAAGAAGAGCTAGGGTGGGTCTAGCACACTGGAAAAGGAGTTTAAGAAGTAGCAAGCCATGAATTGGACGTGTTTAATCAATTGTCAGGTGACACCTATTGTGTTAAACAGCTTTGTTACTTCCCTCATTCACTTTTCAGTTCACAGCCCAGGACATTGATTTGAAAAGATGCCCAGCCGGTTGAGGGAGATATGCTTGGGAAGCCCAGCCTA